TCCCTTTCCTCCCACACACTTCTTGTGCGACCTTAGGCAAGTCACTTAGTCTCTCTGCACCGCAGTCTCCATCTACAACAAAGTCATGTCATGACAGCACCGCAGAGCAGCCAGTGTGGTCAGACTAGCCGACCACTAGGGTCCATTTTGGCCTTACACTCAATGCATCTGTAAAAGGAGCATAAAAGCACTGCCCTCATTCACAGGGATTCGGTGAGGAGAAGTACACTGAAGATTGCGAGACACGCATTTGCTGCTTATTTGGGGCCATATAAGTACCCAAAACAGATGGATTGTAAGAGGGCCTTTCTGGCCTTAAAATCAATGAATCAGATCAAAGGGAGCCATTCTGTCTTTGAAACATGTAGCTGAAGGAGTTTGGGATAAATCCATGTGTTTACTAGGCTGTGGTGAGTTCACTGGTGAGATTAAATCATTTCTTTCACTAGTGTCTGCCCAACAAGGATCATCTAGAATAAAGAGCCACAAACATTGCTGTAAACTAAAGCACGGGCAAAGGTGAATTGGACTCGTAGTATAAATAGGTCAGTCCCATCCCTAATTCTTGTGGTTCAGTGATTCTATAAATGCTGCTGCTCTGTGTCATTAAAACATACGAACGGCCACACTGGGTCAGACCAATGGTCCATCTAGCTAGAATCCTGTCTTCTGACAGTGGCTGGTGCCAGATGCTTCAGAGGGAATGAACAGAACAGGGCAATTTAGGCCCATCCTCTGTCATCTAGCTTCTTCATTTTATGTAGTTCTCTTTTTGAAGTTAAATGCTACTGTGGTGGGTTTCTTTGGTATTCCCCCAGCCCCCCCGAGATGTTATATTTAATTACGTCCTGGTCACTAGTACTGAGTGATTCAGCTGTATCACCTCTTGGACCAGATCCTGTGCTCCACTTAGGACTAAATCAAGAATTGTCCCTACCCTTATGTGTTCCAGGACTCTCTGCTCCAAGGAGCAGTCATTTATGGTGTCTAGAAATTTTATCTCCGCATCCCATCCTCAGGTGACATGTACCCAGTCAATATGGGGATAGTTGAAATCTCCCATCATTGTGTTTTCTGCCTTGGTGGCCTCTCTAATCTCCCCAAGCATTTCACAATCACGGTCACCATCCTGGTCAGGTGGTTGGTAGGATAGTCCTGCTACTATACACAGATTGTTCAGGCATGAAATTTCCATCCATTGGGGTTCTGTGGTACAATTGGAGTCATCAGTATGCTTCCTTTCACATATAGCGCCACTCCCCAACAAGTGCAACCTACTCTGTCATTCCCCTATAGTTGGTACCCTAGTATTATCGTCCCCATTTATTAGCCTCATTCCACCAAGTTTACATAATGCCTTTTATATCCGCATCCTCATTTCATGCCAGGCCCTCTAGTTCATCCATCTTAGTATTTAGCCTTCTAGTGTTTGTATATAAGCACTTGTACATGTTGTCAATGTTCAGCTGCTTGCCTTTGTGTGTTATACTTAAATGGGACTTTTACATTTGATTGTTCCTCACTGGCTCCTATCAGTTCTTTACCAACTTCTTTCCTTGAGTCAGTAAAGGCAACTGTTAATTGGATTAACAACATTGCGGTTTTATTTTCTCCTGTGCTGGAGGTTTCTTTCCTTGCTCAGCACCATGATCCCTCTGCTGTTCAGCACGGCGAATCCTAGTTGAAATCTCATGTTTGATTAGGAGACAAAATTCCCCTGCCACTGTGCCCACGTCTGGCGCAGATCTGTTAGGAAGCAGGTTGCATCTCAAAGGGTTTTTGCCTGGGAGGTGAGCGTTATCAGTAAACACAGTAACAACTGCCCAGGATGTTCCGGGGCAGATGGAGAGGGGTGAAACGGAACCTGAATCTCATCTGTGTCTTTGAAGGGAAATGTAATGGGCTACTGAAATGTCCATGGAAAACTCTCTGGGTAACTCATCTGTGCTGTTTGATGGCTTCTGGCAGTCCCGTGGTTACATGAATGTTGTAGTGATGTCCTACTGACGCTTTATTCCTACATCCAATTTTACACTGATTACCCCTGGGCATCATTCCATTAACTTCAATGGAGTTACCCCCCGCTCACACTAGTATAAGTGCGTGGAAAACCAGACCCATTTGGATCCTGTTGGATTCAGATACCAACTGGAGGTTTCCAGCTCATGCCCGTCTCTGTCATAGGCTAAATGGAAATGTCCGATGGGATCATCTACAAACTTTGGAGCATCTCAGATCCAGGCTTCAATGCACAGAGTCTCTCCAGCTGTAACCCGAGTGCTGTGGGATGTGAGCCTAGAGGGCCACAAGATCTCCCGTGAAAAGCAGACCACACATTCCAGTCCCCTCTGCATATGGAGTGAAGCCACCTGACCCCCATGAAAGATGTTCCAGGAGGACCCCACAGGGTGGCCTGGGAGGATGGGAGTGAACGGACCCAGGCTGCCAGCCCTGGATCCCAACCCCTCCCAGTGCTCGGGGGGGAGGCAGCTGATTATAAGTTAATAAAGCTGATTTAATGTACTCTTCCCCTTCCATTCCATGGCTCTCCTCCTTTAGAGGGCTCATTGGACAGCTGTCTCATGTACCCATATGCTAGCTGTGAGTGGACTCCATGTTTCTAACCCTAAACTGGCTCTCTAGTAAAACAGCTCATTGCAGAGGTGCTGCAACTGCAGCTAGCATTCCAGCCATGTGCACACAGACTGGCTTCCTGGGGCCCCCTCCAAACTCTTCCCTCCTGCAACCTGTGCTCCTTCCTCCGGGTTCATTGCAGGTTGTTACAACACAGAGAGCCATGGAAGTATATCTCCTGAAGGCAGCATGCTCTCCAAGGGTCAGCAAAGCCAACCAATAGGTACAGAGACAAGGGGGCTCCATGAAGATGCCTCTTGCCACCGGCAGACCCCCCTGAGATCCCTGGATTAGGATCTGTACCCTGGTTTCCTCCCTAGAAAAGCCTGTCTGCATCTCTCTCCCCAGATAGACGCTGCGTAGGAAACTCTGAGTGGTGCAGCTCTCTGAATTCCCTTTCTTCTAGGTAGGTTATTCCCCCATTAGGGAAGAGCCCCTCTGCCTTTATCCCCCCTCCTCTTTCCCTAAGCTGCCTCCCTGCTCCCAGACTTTCTCCACGAGAAGAAAGTTTTATGGATGGAGAGAGGAAACTCAATTATTTCCCTCTCAATGTGTCTCCCTATAATTGGTGTCTTTCATGTCAAGATGATCTCAATTTGTATTATGGGCTCCATGCACACAGCACTTTCTCTTTGGTCTATAAAGACATTGTCAAGTGCATAAATCATAGTGCACATTAAATTACACTAGCCTTTTACTTATTAATTTCCCCAGTTTTTTCCCCTCCACTGGGTGCTTCTTCCCTCCCTCTTTCTCTCCTATGCTCACTGCCTCTTCTCTTTCCCTCCCTTCCCCCCTCTCTCCACCCCGACTGATTGCCCATTTTCCGAAAGCAGTGACCAGTGGGTCAGTTTCCCTCGCCATTGTCCGGGACACTAGCTATTTCCCTACACCCCTTGCAGTTGATCACATCAAACCCTTCTCCCAGAGCGATAGGAAGGAGTTTTCACTCCAGCTGTCATGGCTCTCCAAGGCCCCACAGTTGAATTGACAGGTGTCTTTACGTTGATTTCAATGGGCTTTGGATCAGTCCCCACTGATGTTCAATCAGGTCTTCCTCCAGTGGCTAGCCACACAGACTGCAACAACTTACTCCCCTTAAAGCCAGTCTTTAAGCTGAAGTAGTAGATGCCTGTGATTTGGCTGTTGAAGATCCTGGGCTCAGTCCCAGCTAATATGTCCGTATATAGACGTGGCCAAGGTTACTCACAACTCCAAAACCAGAGAATGGCGAATGACAGAGTAAACCCCCATGGCCAAATTCTGCTGCTGGTTCAAATCCCTTGACTTCACTGGCCTTGCATGGGCATAAGAGTGGGCAGATATTATCCTCTAGGGTCTAGAGGCACTGAGCTGCAAGACAGACCTCTCTTCTGTAGAATGTGAGTGTGATAATAACTGTAGTCTCTTTATGTCTAAGTACATTTCCCCCTCGAGACAACAATGCGGCAGGATTCTCTAGGCCCTCCATCATGTTAACCTACTTGTCAGCCACTTTGATAGCTTTTTAATACTAAATATGTTTGCGGAGCAATTAGAATAAATCTAGACAGTTATGAAATACTTTCCGAAAGCGGGGGAATGGGGCCAACTTTGCTGTTCAACCGAGATTAACCAAAAATAATGGGGGAGGGAATCAGCCCGGCTGGACTGCAGGGTAAAAGGAGACCGGGGCGGGTTAGAGAAAAGGGCTATGGAGGTCCTAAATATATAACTACTCAAGTCGCTGGTGGGTGGAGTGACAAGAATGGGGAGCACTAGCCATATAAGATACAAACAAAGGATCACGCTGTATATCCCTCTTACAAAGTCAGATGATTTAGCACTAACCTGTTTGATGCTAGCATTCTCTCTCTCTGTATGCCACAGTCTGTGCAAGAGAGGAAGGAAGTGGCAGTGGCCGTTCTTTGCAGCAGAGCCTTTAGGAGGAATTCTGGCTATCTCAGAAATCGTCCTTTGTTCTCCCTGGGAGCAAAAAGCTACAGTAACAGTCCTGCTACTATCACAGCACGTTCTTCTCTGGGCCTGCCTGGGGACCTCTGCTGGCCAGGTGCAGGGTGTGCAGGGCTCACCTCAGCCCCTCCTCAGGCCTCCACCGGCACTGCACCCCTCAACCACATGGTTGTTGGCCCTTGGGCGGGAAATAAGGGAGCGAGGGTTCCTTGCGCCGTCTCCCCACCCCACCCCTATTACTTCCTTCTCTTAACTGTTCTGCATTCTTGTTGCCTGCTCTTAAATAACTACTGTGTTCTGCACATGCAGAAAACCCTGCTGCTAAAAGGTGCACGCTAAAAACCCAACAGCACAATTAGGGGATCTGTGGGCTCCGTTGTTAATTGCGCTTCTCTCTTTGTTTTTCCTTGCAGATGAACAGACCAATCCAGGTGAAGCCAGCGGACAGCGAAAGCCGAGGAGGTAGTTGACTACATTGCTCTCAGCCACTGTGCTAAGTTTAATTGTTGTCTCTGGCTTCTCTCAGGCAATGCGCTGATCAATTAGCAGCGTAATCACTGCCAAAGAAATTCCCTCTGCAGCAAAGATTCTCTTTATTAAATCTCCTTTCCTTCGTCTCACTTTCCTCATATTCAATTATTATTTGATTTTAAAAGGCAGGCAGGTGCCAGCGATTGCCTGGGAAACAAATAACTGCCTTGTTAAGAAATGAAGCATCGGGCACTGACTTATCAAAGTTTAACGGCATTGACAGCACCTTGTTTCTTGCAGACCATGTGCCGCCAGCAGGCCAAACTGCAGTGATGGTTCAGTTGGGTTAGAACTCGGGGGGTGTTTTACTGTGTCTCCAGCCCCCATGTTTCACTGTGGTGACTAAACGTGGATTGAAGCGTCTCTGCCTTTGGAGAAAGCAAACTTGCTCTAGGATATTTCCTGCACCTGTACCCGTATAGCCCGATGAACATACCATATTAACTAGATTCTCATCTCAGCAACACGGAGTTACTCTGGATTTGCACACAACTGAGATCAGAATTTGCACCCCGTACCCCTGTATCCATATGCCTAGAGAGACAGATGTTAAAGCCCCTTATTTAGAGACCAATCAATGGGTCACCCCAAGTGGGCTGCCTCCATTAGGTGGTTTTCAAACCCAATTGTGTTGGAAAGCATGGAGATGCTTCACCGGGCTTCTCTGAAACAGGACGTTGTCTGTCAGATGTGGTCCCAGCACAGATTTCATTGTGTACAGGAGGCCAAGGACTCCGTTATCCAGTATTATTTATTTATCAGATTCTATGGTGTGGCTAGATCTCTATGTTTCTATCTACATGGTGGTTTCTTCGAACTCCAGTGAAATCCCTTCCTATTCCTTTGATTGAAATAAGAGGTTGGTATTGTTGATCACACTACCAATAAGTGTGTCAAAGACAGCTTGCATAGTGCATGTTAGTGATTATAGAATCAGTATCAGTCTCTGAATAGGCCAGAGTTTTCTGTTAATAATAATCTGGTTCTTCTCTGGGTAAAAACTCTTTGGGCCCTTTTTCATTAATGTCAATTGCATCTTTCTATGGGCAACAGTTGAATTATCCAACAATAGTTGTCTCGAGTGAATGAAGCAAATCACAAAAAAGAACAGAAGTTATATTCCTTTTAGTCAAAAGATTGGGAGATCCAGTGGTTTGATCAAATATAACCAGAGGCTGAAATTCACCGGTGTCTGGATTCAACTGGAAGGTATAGATGAAGATCTGGCATTATGAAAGGGTGGAACTGGTGGGTTGACAGAGATTCCATATGGTTAATTATTAGGTGTAATTGTGTAGGACGGGGGTCTCTGGAATAGCTCTTCTACTATGTAATCAAATTCAGGGATCAACCTTGCACTATTAGAGTCTGAGGGGCTACTCATATGAACAAAGCAAGATTTGGGAATGGCATGTTCCAATGGTATTGATTAGGAATGATCGTGTCACGTTTCCTTCATTCAGCAAAGGCAAATTTAAAAACCATGGCTCAGATCCTCAGCTAGTGTAGAACAATGGAATTCCCTGGTTTTCAACGGAGACATGTCGATTTATGCCCCAGCTGACGATCTGGGCCCATATCTCCGTCTGAATCGGCTTGCCCAGGGCACTTGATGATGACCCCCTAGGTCAGCTGCCTTGCAGACAGCTGGGGCCAGATGCACATTCCGGCAGAGCCGGTGATGACAGCATGTATGAAGGGGTGGTCTTTTGTCTGCTTAATTAGACACACCAAAAAATAATAATTAGGCCAGCCAGTTTGCTTAGTGCCTCCAAATCACTCCCTTTTATGCAGATCGCTAATAGCAGACACGTGCCTGGCTTTCTAGAATGGGTTTTAAGCCTCTCTTGCCAGCAGCTGCTTTCAGGAAGGTGGGTTTGAACTGCAAAGCGCATCGGTGGCTGTTTAAATCATCTTTACCCATCACACCGACAATCGCCTCCCCGCTGTATTTTAGCTAATTATCTCCCCTCTCCCACCCACTATCCTTGTTTATTGCATCTCTCTCTGCCAGGATCATAAGACGGGGCCCAAGCGTTTGGCATTGAAATGAAAGCCACGTTGTCCCAATTCCCCACTGACGCTGCTTCTGGGCTAGGGAAGTTGCAGGACAGCATGACTCAAGGGCAACTATGGGAAAAAAGAACAATTGGCACCCAGGGGAGGCATTGTGTGAAAACTTACCTTCCCCATGAGCCCACTGGTTAAAGCACGCACAGCAAGCAGAATGCTAAAGAGGAGTCTGTGTATCTTAGGAGCACATCAAAAGACATCATTAGGGCTGCAAGATAAAGGTCAACTTCAACAACAAAGCAACTTAAGTTGTAGCTATTATACACAGCTTGGTGTGTCCTGTTTGAGGAGGAGAGGGACTGGCTCTAACCCACAGCCGTATAGCAAAAGCCCCTGGCTTTCCCGAAGTCCACCAGATACATGACACTCCTTTTTCCCCCGCCTTTGGGGAAGTGTTTGGTGCCCTGTCACAGCATTACAGGGAGACCCAAATGCTGTTTGACCAGGTAGTTGAAGGTGATCCCTGTGAAATGAGGTCTTGTCCTCTGTAGTGATGGACACATGAGTTAAGATCAAATAAGAAGCCCCAGATTTCCCCCAAACCTTCACCCCAAAATTGAAACAAATCTGAACCCAGAATCTACTCTGAGAGAAGAAGAAGTCTGGTTCGTATCGTAGTGCATCGGTTTTGCATTTTTCACTCCAACCTCTGTGCCTCTTTGTTTTGTTTTCCTTTATTTGGATGTGTTCAAAAACACTCCCATTAAAATATTTTGGTGTCTGGTTTGGAAGATGACAGCACTTTTCAGTATTATTTGTTATTTTCATTAGCCTAAGTGCCCATCGAATTAGAAATATATGATTTTTTAAAATTCTATTTTTCTTGGGAAAGCAATGGTTTAAATTAGAGAGGGAAAGTGTTTTGTAAATTTCACAAGAGTTTTAAGAAATTCCTGACATTCAGAATTTAATAGAGAGTGGAATCCTTTCTATAGAATTCTTAATGAGGGGTCAAATAACTTATTGAAAGGTTATCATTTTTATTACAGGTTTCAGGGTAGCAGCCATGTTAGTCTGTATCCTCAAAAAGAACAGGAGTACTTGTGGCACCTTAGAGACTAACAAATTTATTAGAGCATAAGCTTTCGTGGGCTACAACCCACTTCTTTGGATGCATATAGAGTGAAACATATATTGAGGAGAAATATATACACACATACAGAGAGCATGATCAGGTGGGAGTTGTCTTACCAACTCTGAGAGGCCAATTAAGTAAGAGAAAAAACTTTGAAGTGATAATCAAGGTAGCTCAGTACAGACAGTTTGATAAGTTTTTTTCTCTTACTTAATTGGCCTCTCAGAGGTGGTAAGACAACTCCCACCTGTTCATGCTCTCTGTATGTGTGTATATATTTCTCCTCAATATATGTTTCACTCTATATGCATCCGAAGAAGCGGGTTGTAGCCCACGAAAGCTTATGCTCTAATAAATTTGTTAGTCTCTAAGGTGCCACAAGTACTCTTGTTATTTTTATTACATTCTCTATCAGGTTTTATCCAGGGTAAAATCAATAGATCTCTGTAGGAAATTAGTCGGGCTAGACATTATTCTAAAAACTTAGCACAAAACTCTGGTTTCATAGAAGTCAATTGCAAAACTCACCTTTACAGCCGTGATTTTATGATTTCACCCCTATAGTAGAGATTGTAATAGGAGATCATCACCATAGCTTAAGTAATTCTCCAGAGAAAAGGTATAATTACTTGCTAAGTTCTGTCATTGTGAAAACATCCCTATTGAAGTATTAGCATTTTCTATTCATGTCTATGGGACTTTTCTGTTAAGACAGGAGATTGTAGCTCCTAACCCCATGTTCAGGCCTAAAGAAAAGTGGCAAAGTTAACCAGAGTTTTCCAAATCTCAGAAAAGGTCTTAGGTTTGGTAAGTGATTTGGGGCAAATGTTTTGAATCAGTTCTTATTTTATCCTGACCATCCCCCCCATCTCTAGCACTGACTAGACACTTTGGCTGCAGCACTTGCTGTTAACTTGGAATAAACCCAGCCTCTAGATTCCCCTGGCTTGTATTGGGCAAAAGATTTTTAAACCCAAAGGACTCTTCTTCCACTCCAGTTGCTCTGTTAGTGAGGTTTAGATGGATTGTTCCCTCCCAGAGCCAACAGAGAAGATCCATATAGGAAGACATGCTAAGAGATAGATACACAATGGGATACACTGACCCAATGTTAATCTCTGAATGAAAAGACCCTGGGAGTGAAGTCAGGAGATCTCCCGGGCCTTATGTAAGATTCACAGGAAATTGCTAGACTAAACAAAACAAAAAGCATGTTAAATAAAGTCCAAAGGTGGTTGAGAGTTGAAAGGTAGCAATGCCCTGCAGAGAGGGATTAGAGGGTTTTGCAAGAGAGTCTCCATTTAATTCCATTACAGTGTTTTCTGCACGCAAGGCATCACTGAACAAACACCCCTCTGTCTCTCTCTCTCTCTCCCTCTCTCTGGCTTTCCTGGATGAAAGATGTGATGGCATCTGTTGTAAAGTTATGCTTGTCATGAATTTCCAATGACTTGCATGATTTCATTATTTGGGGAGGCAAATGCCCCTCTAATCAGAATGGTTTCCCTGTAAACAGCTGCTGGAAAATAGAGGGGTTGAGGGGGAGGGAGGTAGATTCCTTTCCATAAACTAGTTTTGAAGCAACCTGGTTAGGAACTATTTAGTTTTCCTTATACTTGGTTCTGATTCAACCTAGTTCTTGGGTGAGATGTCTTTACAGCTACCCATGGCTTGACATTCATTCAAGGTAAGCAGTACAGTTTTAAGCACGCAGGTGGAATATTACCGTAACGTTAAAGAATAATTTGCACTTGTCTGTGCAATTTTGCCCGCTTATGGACCT